TATGTAAATCAATTAAACTCCTTGGAGAAACGCATTCAAAGTTTTCTGAGTGTCTACTTTTTTATGAATATTAACGGTTGTTTACGTATATCTCTATTCATGATATAATTGTTTCTCAGAAATAGGGTTGTAATTAAAAGCACCACACTCTCATAAATAAAAGCACATGTGCTTAAAATCAACGGTCCTAATTGTAATTAAGCATAAATATTTAATCACTAGGAGTGCAATATAAACGGGAAAAAAAAACAACAACAAAAAAAACCAACAAAAAAAAAAAACGAAAAAACCTTGCTATATTTCGTTGTCTTTTATTTCTCTTAATTTTTCCAGTATATTTATAAGTACAGTTATTTAGTTGCGAAATATAATAATGTAGCAAATTTGATTTACATGTTCGAATTCGTACATAAATTGCATAAATAAAAGACAAAGAAATATTCGGTTTTAATATAATATTACATAATATGTATAATGTCTTTTATTCTTAGAACACAATGAATAAGAAATCCATTAAAAAGTTTTGTATTTACTCTCTAAACATTTACGTGAAATATCTTTTTTGTGGTTAAGACCGTTTATTGCTGTTTTTTTCTAAAACGAGTATGCTATTTCGTTTCTTTCCTCCTCCAAATCATACACTTTTATGTTTTATGATTGCAGCAAGTACTGATTGCATCTAAATATATTGTTTAATGCTTTTTTATTGAAAATCACGCCAGAAATACTGAACAATGTTAATTTTGAAACAAACGATTTAATACACTATACATTTTACGGACATTTTTTTTTTCAATTTTAAGTTAGAGAAATGCATTTGTGCTCTAAGGCCTCTGGTCTAAAATACATAGTATACATACAACAAATATGTAATATGGTTGCGTTTCCTTAACTATATTTATGATGAGAACAAAGAATAACTTTCAATATTTTCTATTAATACATATACATAAAACACAAGCTTCCTTAATGTGGTTATATTACGTGCTTATTAAAACATGTATGACGGTAGCATCAAGTCACTTGAGTTCGGGAAAATTACAAAAAGGCTGAAAAAGCTGAAGCTTTCAGTTTAATCAACTTCATTGTGATATTGTTTTAAAGTTCTGTATGTTACGTAAATGTTTTACAAATGTTACTCGATAAAAATATGCTTAACCCTTTACCCCATATATACGCGAAACAACGCACTTTTGACCCCCCCCTTTTTTTAGGCCTCAACTAGTGAAAAAATGTCGTATTTGGGCCCCAAACACATGTTTTCGTTTGAGAAATGTTGCTAAAAATAATGAGCACTTTTTCGGCGCCGTCCCCCATCCAAAAGATACATCAGGGGGTTGCCAGAAGGGGGATGTGCCCCCTTCTGTTAGGGGGGGTTGAAGGGGGGCGGAGTCCCCCTCATCGCCAAGAAAATTTTGGTCTTGTGAGAGGCTAAAAATGACCCCAGGTCGATCATAATGTAACGTGTAACCAACGTTGAAAAGCCTTTGACTCTATCTCAATCACTTGAGAAGTTGCAGCACTTTGAAATAAATTTTGATGGAAAAAATCGAGGCAAAATAGTGATTTTTGGCAATTTTGAGATGTCCCCTCGTTGCCATGGTAACAGGAAATTTAAGACTGAGCATGTCGTTACAAAGGCAATGGTCCAGTCAACATTTGTGCCAAGTTTGATTAGTATTGTAGCATTTTTCATAGTTTCATAGCAGTTTGAACTTGTAACAGGAGGCTTTTCAGTGAAAACGGCCATTTTTCACAATATGCTCATGGGGGAAAGGGTTAACTAAAAAAATTATAAATGTTACAAAACAACAATTTTTCACCAAAATTAGGTGAAAGACCACATGTTAACATGGAAAAACTAGTTTTTAGGTGATTCTAAAGTTTTTGATCATTTTTTGTTAACCCTTTACCCCATATATACGCGAAACAACGCACTTTTGACCCCCCCCCCCTTTTTTAGGCCTCAACTAGTGAAAAAATGTCGTATTTGGGCCCCAAACACATGTTTTCGTTTGAGAAATGTTGCTAAAAATAATGAGCACTTTTTCGGCGCCGTCCCCCATCCAAAAGATACATCAGGGGGTTGCCAGAAGGGGGATGTGCCCCCTTCTGTTAGGGGGGTTTGAAGGGGGGCGGAGTCCCCCTCATCGCCAAGAAAATTTTGGACTTGTGAGAGGCTAAAAATGACCCCAGGTCGATCATAATGTAACGTGTAACCAACGCTGAAAAGCCTTTGACTCTATCTCAATCACTTGAGAAGTTGCAGCACTTTGAAATAAATTTTGATGGAAAAAATCGAGGCAAAATAGTGATTTTTGGCAATTTTGAGATGTCCCCTCGTTGCCATGGTAACAGGAAATTTAAGACTGAGCATGTCGTTACAAAGGCAATGGTCCAGTCAACATTTGTGCCAAGTTTGATTAGTATTGTAGCATTTTTCATAGTTTCATAGCAGTTTGAACTTGTAACAGGAGGCTTTTCAGTGAAAACGGCCATTTTTCACAATATGCTCATGGGGGAAAGGGTTAAACCAACTCTCTTAACATCATTATCTGGGAATATGTTGTTTTCTTTTTTGTGCATTGTTGAACATTCAATCCTTACTTTAAAATACCAGGAAAACAATATCAAAAACCATATCAAAAAATTATGTTGACAAATAAACTAAACATTAAATTATAAACAGAAAATGACATTAGACAATAGTATTAGAAATGTTAAATTGTAAGACAAATATTGGGGAAAATCATTTTTAGAATCGTGTGTCAAAAAGTAATTTCAACTGTCAATAATCAATTGAATGATAAGAGATACATACTAGAACTTATTGTAACTGTTTTCAAAATATTATTGAAAACATATAATGCGATTCTGCAATATTTTTTTTTATTAATTTATTTGCACAATTAATTAATTACAGCTGAACTTAGGCAATTACATAAAATGCTGACATAGTTGTTTTTGACACATGATATGAAAGACAATTTTCGGCATCACTTTTCTCCTCTATTTTTTAAATGTTTATTGTAACAAATAACATAGTAAATTTACGTATACTCGTTCCAAAGGCAATTTGGAGTTTACAAAGTTATGAGTTTTTCGTTTGTAATATCATTTAAAAAGCAGCCATAAATGTTAACAAATACCTAATACGCATATTAATTTACCCGGTGGAGTAAAAAGTACTTAATATGTGAACGACTCCCGGACAGTGCAGGTCACTTTCTTTTTGATTGATCATGAAATCATTTCTACGGCCATTCGCATTGTACATCTGCACTGGCAAGTACATAAGTAATATCAGTCCTTTGCGAAAGTGAATGTATCTAGTATTGGTAAACTGATGATGGCCTGTCCAGGAAATATGCTGGGACTGGGCAATGCTCTGGTGAATTCAAACTTTTTACTTCCGTGATACGAAGGGTAAACTTCAAAAAGCAAAATGCAATTAGATGTACATTGAAAACTATTCATTAAGAAATGTAGGATAAAAGTGTCGTGATAACCATAAAACGACAAAGGGAAGTTTGACTGCTTGAAACGCTGATATTTATACTCAACATTAAAAGACTAAATAAGACTAAACGCTCAAGGAAATTAGTTGATATAGCGCTAGGTTTTAAATTATAAACTATTTGTTTCGTGTTTCAATGTAAAAGTTTTAAAAAGATATATATGCGAAAGTATTAGAACAACAATGTTTGTTAAAAATCTTTGAAAATTTCTTACAATTATGAGTTTTGATTTTAATTAGAACAAAATCGAATATATATTTCAGACTGAACAGAATACTTAAGAACAACAATGTCTGTTAAATCAAAATAAGTATCTTTGAAAAAATTCTTACAATTATGAGTTTTCATTTTAATTAGAACAAAATCTAAATATTCATTGTGTACTGAAACATAAATATATTTCAAACTGAATAGAATTCTTAAAATGATTATTTTCGAGGTACTCACTGTAAGCTTGTGGCAATTTTCCCATGAAATTTAATTTAAAATGATATGATTCCACTTTCAGGAGGAAGAAAAATAAGGTCATGCTAATTAAAAGTTTTTATATGAAGATTTATGACTTTACTTCAATTACAGCCACATTAACTTAAGTTGAAACATATGATACATACAATAAGTGTTTTGAAGCAAAACCTGTAATACCACACCATGAAGTATTGAGGGGTTCCCAAAAAGTTCATAGGGAAAACACTACATTGCAACATTTAATGACCTTCTTGGGTCGATGGTTAGTAACCTTCTGTTAATTAAGAAGCAATGTTGTTTTTACATCAAGACAATCAATTTATTATTTACAAAATGATATAAAAACGACAAATAAGTTTTAAATATATTAAGATCAACGCTTAGATCAATACTATTATATCAAGACAAATAACCAGCACTGTTTCTCCAGCAAACGTCATTTCCAGTGCCGATTTCACACCACATCCTACTAACGCTTACCTAAAACAAAATTATTTTTAAAAAAATACTAAATGTAGCACATTTCGTTATTCTTCAAATATTACCTTATGAAGTTAAGTCGGTGTTTTTTTTTCTCTTTTTTAAGTTTTATAGAATCTACCGGTTATTTTCTTCTTTTATTATAAATCCAACCACGGGTCATTTTATCATTATTTACTTATCTGTTCCATATGACATTTGCCGACAAATGATCGACTCATTTTACCATTACAATAAGAAAATGGGTGTAGATATTGTTGTAACCGATTGATCAAGAACAAAGCTATTCATGACATATGGGATAAATGTCCTTTTTACCAGGTAAGTCATGTTAACAATATACAAAAAAACAAAATACGATTTTAAGTTAATTTTCAGTGATTTCACACATGCATTTAATTTAAGTTTCTTCAGAAAAGTGTGCAATTAAAAATTGTATACTTATGTTTCATGATATGATTTCGACAAATATTTTTGAATAACCCTCGTTTTCAATCAAAAACTTATACATATTAGCAGATAGCTGGAACTGAAAATGTAGTTGCATTCTTGACATTAATCAAGGCAAAATAGTCTGTAACAAAATGTTGTTCTCAAGGTTTTATACTTTTGTTGTGTTATTTCAAATATACAATTTTCAATTTGTTCTTGCAAAAGAACCAGTCTGTTCAAAATTTGCTTACGAAGAACAACTTTTAGAGAAAATGATCAGGACTGAAATTAAAGTAGAAACCATGGCAAACGAAATTAAGACGACACAAGAGACTGTCATGGACACTTTAGGCGTCATTAAGAAGACTGTTCAAGAATTCACGGATATGTTTGAAAGCTTGAAGAACAACATCACGGGGCGTATGTTAGAGAACACTCAAATAATAGAGAAGAAAATGAGTAAGTTTACTCTATTGTTTCTTAAAAATAAATCTCGTTAATGTTAATTTGTATTTTCTTATTTTTTTGAGTCGCAAAATTTTCAATAATTTTTAAAGATATTACTCTATTTAACATCCTGGTCCAGTTCTTTCTTTACGATAATTCATAGACATCTCAAACGAATGTAGTATTTTTTCATAGACTATACCGCAGGATTCCATTAAAACGTTTTTATATGCAAATATTAAAGTTGACGTAATTATTGATAGAATTCGTACGTAATGCACAATTCAGTTTAATTAAAACAAAATTATTCATTTTACATCAATTGAATTATAATTGCAAAGTGAATGTTATTTCGGTGTTTCTTAAAAAATGTTAAAGGATTATATACATATATATCTTAATTTTTATTACAATGTTTTAAAGCTGTCGTTTAAATATGATTGCAGAGTTCTTCGAGAAGTTATATGAAGCGACTCGGATGAATTTAACGCAAGAAATTGAAAAGCAAGGAAACAGTGTTGTCGAAATGCAAGGTAACATAATTTCCTCTAAAATGAACGTTTGAATGTCTTTTTTTTATTTGTTTCAAATATTTTTTTATTTTTAAGACAATCTAAAATTGAATCATAATATTTTGATAAATGGTCACCGAACATATTCTGACTTATATTGTTATTGATAATGAGTGAATTTATGAATACTACTCAATGAATAACAAAGGTAACTAATATTTGAATAATCATGACATCAAATCTAGCGAAGGACAGCCTTAGTTATTCAGATTTAAATTTCGGATAATTTAGACATGATTGATTGAAACCATTTCATCTTCATCTTCTCAATTATGCAATATTTATAAATAACCTCTAAATTCAATTTGTAAAGCCTAAAACCATTTTAAATAATTCTTTAGTAGAAAGTAAAACTATACTTGAATAATTGCACCATTAAATTCAACACGTTAACATTCATTATTAACTGCTAAATAAATTCTTACTATCTAAAAGTGAATAAAATATAAACATTATTGATATCACATATACGCATTACATTATTTTTTCATAAACATGTATGTACCATCTATACCGCAGGGAAATTGGAACGACCCTCTGTCGCTTTTAATGCACACCATGTGGCAGATGTTAACCTAGATGAAGCAAACGAGAGGATTGTATTTGATACTGTCATCACTAACGAAGGCTCTGGATACGATAGTTCCACAGGAATTTTCACAGCTCCTGTTGGGGGGATGTACCAGTTTAACGTCCATATTTGTACACATTCCTCAAAATTCAGTTATATAGGAATAGTTCATGCTGATAACATATTTGCAAAAAAGTTTCAATATGCATCTGGAAACCCACTATTGCAGCTCAGTGGGAGGAGTAATAAGAGTGAATTCAGGGGAACAAGTTTGGGTTCAGTCTACTTCACCGTCATCAAGCCACAAACTAATTGATGACAACTCGAGAATGAACATATTCTACGGAATGCTTATAAACAGCTAGATAGAAACGCATTCAATGCGATATATCTGCAAATAGCCTAAGCTTATGAGTTTATGTGTTTTTTATCGACGGATGTATTGACTATATTCATGAAATCAGATATTAAAGATGCATTGACCAAAGATTATTTGACAAGTATTTATCAGGAAACGTTTTTTTTTAATAAAGATAGATATGTAGAGCTAAAAAATGAACATCAATACTTTTAATTCCTAGAAAAAAGTGTTAACAGCATTTTCCAAACATGTGAGAGAAGACCAAAATTCTTTCTTTTTCCTTATCAAACAAAGTTGATATTGTTAAAAGTGTATTTTTGTTTGATTTTAAATGACTGATTTAAACTATTTCTCTATTCCTCTTTATTGTTTACTTTCTTAGAGTATTGTTCTCAATGATATACATGTATATGGGCTTTTGTGTCAATATCGTTTATGTACATGTAATTTTTAAATGATACAATAACAATTGTTAAAAATCTTTACAATAACTGAACGGCCGAAAAAAGAAAAGAAAACATAATCCTTAAAGAACGTCAAAAACAGCATATTGTAAATTTTGGTTTCGCTTTCGGTTTAAATGAGCCAATTCATGGACGGAACAGGAAAGTGCAAGCTACTGTCCGCGACCCTAGCACTCGGCTTTAGCAGAATTCAAATTTTAAATGTAGGTAAAATATCACAATATTTAGCTCTTACACTACACATAGTCTATTTTTATGGTTTACTTTATTTTTTTATGTCTTTTGTAAGTGATTTTAATTTAGGTAAAATATGATACTGTCAGATAGAATTACGGATTTTTAAGAATTATGGCATGTCTTTCTTGTTCCACTGTCATGTTTTGAAAAATAAACAAGTTTGATGGCATGCTGCTGTATATGTAAATCTCATAATCCTTGTTGTCAATTAATGTTTGTGTTATTTGAGTGTTGATGATTATTACAATCATCGGTGTTTGTTCTTCATCAACAAGTTATAGTTTCACGATTTTTTAATCCAGGCGTTGTCTGAACGTGCGCTCATGACGGTATTCTGACACCTGTTTGAAAAAATAAATGAGTGAAAGCTTTGATGTTTTAAGTATGTGATCTTCTAATAGCTTCGACGAAGGACAACCCTTAATAGTTGCCCCAATTTAGAGTAAAAAAATAACCATTTCATGATTTTATATTTGAGCTGTGTCATGACAAAACCAACATAATGGGTTTGCGACCAGCATGGATCCAGACCAGCCTGCGCATCCGCGCAGTCTGATCAGGATCCATGCTGTTCGCTATCAGTTTCTCTACTTGTAATAGAGTCGGTAAGCGAACAGCATGGATCCTGATCAGACTGCGCGGATGGGCATGCTGGTCTGGATCCATGCTGGTCGCAAACCCATTATGTTGGTTTTGTCATGACACGGCTCATTTTTCTTTAATTTTCATTAACTAACGATTTACCATGTTTGTATACATATTGTAAACAAAGTTATAATAAACTATATAAATGTTTGTCATTTATCTATATTGCTTCCAAATAAATTCTGTTACCTATTGAAACAAGAAATAAAATTAATATTGTATTGAAAGAAAAACAACACATAAACTGTTTAATGCAGAACTGCTGTAGAAAATAAGATAATAAATCAAAAGGAAAAAAGAAAAAGAACATGGAATCCAAATGCAATATATGAAAAGCGTATAAGAAAGGGCCTTTGTGGTAATTTAATACACAATTTATTTATACATGTACATTTTATCTAAACACAATATTTTTTGATATGACTCTTCGATATACATGTATGCATGCTATCTATATTCACAAAGGTCATTTAAATTGATAAATGAATGATAAATGGCTTCATGTGTGCACTAGAAAAGATGTCTTGTTATAAGATGTCCCTATTTTGCTGAAAATTAACAAAAAGGTTTGCATTTATTACTCAATATTATAGTTTATATATTAGACTATTACAAAACCTCTTTAACTATGTGTTTATATACTTCTCACATGGTACCATATCTCTTAATGATATTTGTTCTTGCCGCATATTTTATCGTTAACCATTCTCTATATACCCTTGTATCGGCATTATGTCACTTTAACTAAAATTATTATTGATTTTTTTATTTATTCATTTGTAGTTAAATCGGCTTTTAAAAGATCTGAACAGAGCAGGACTCCTGGGTCCATATTATAGAAGACACACATATTATAGGTAAGGATGGACCAAAGATAGAGATGACATATGGGAAAACTGCAATTTACACATTCTGTTGACAAGACAAAACGTCAAACTCTTTTATGCAACATGAGAAATAAGATCAAATTCACACTCCTCATCATTCACCTTTTTTTCTGTCGGTATGGAAATTGTAAAGTTGACTTTAGACTAAGGAAACCAGCTCTTGGCTATTTTTACCGACTTCTCAAACCTGACATTTTATGATTATTCTATTATCTGGATTTTTTACTACAACTTTAAAGTTGAAAACCATTGTTTTTCAGCCACTTACGCTAAGCTGCTTTTAAAAAAGTGACGATAAAATGACTATCTGATGTTTAATATTAACACTTCTTAACAAGATACTATAAACTGTACAACATTTAAGCTATCATCAGAATTGGCGCGAGTTATAGATGTTATCACAATATATCATGACATACACGCAACATTTGTAAATATCATTATATTTAAAAGGGGTTGAAGAAAAAATGTGTCATTCAGAAAGTTAGATTTGACAAGATAATTCTATAATGATAACAATTGAGTCTCAATGTACTTTTTTAGTTGCAGGTTTATATTCTGAGATATATGTTTTAAGCCAGGCGACCAATGTTCTGAAAATAAACATTATGAAATGAAAATAAGATAGAAGAAAAGAAAGACAAACTAAGACAGAAGAAAAGAATATTTTTGTACTTTGAAGTTGTCTATTTTTTTGCAACTAAAATAATGTTCTGTTAAGGTATGACAACCATAACATGCACCATAAGGAAATGGAAATTTGATAACATAGGTCAGATATATTCTTAAAGGACACCTGAATGCAAAATTTAAACAAACTTTACCGTACGGAAATCGAGTTATGGCCTTTTCTGAATTTAACCTAGGATATGAGGAGGCCCCTTTTTAAGAAATGAGACACCTTTAAATATTCAACAATATCACCCTTACCATTAATTTTTGGTAAGAAACAAAAAGTATCATCCAGCTAACAATCCACATTAGCAAAATAATTGTTTCTTATTCAAAATTTATAAACACGTGTTTGACCATTTTCTTACTTGAAGAGCCTAATTAAAAGAAACTCCCTAAAATTTATCAAAATGAGTGCCTGTTTTCAGAGTTGCCGTAAATTTTCTCAAAAGTGTACTGGTAAATCTTGTAAAATATTAAATACTGTTACTTACCGTCTAGTTTTGATTTTATTACACTTTGAAATTATCGGGAACCATATTTGTTACTAGATTTAGCATCATTTTACCAAAAATACCTTTATTAATTGAATTATTAAAGTTAAACACTTTTTTTCTTCCCAAAAGATATATCAGAGGTACGTAAATAATGTTAAAAGAGAAAAAAGAAAAAAAAGTTGACACTTCTGTGGTTTGAACCCACGGCCTCAAGTTTCAATGTAGTTGACAGTAGTTTCTGGCCCATTTTAACATTCTTCAAAGCGACGAAAATTCATAAGGATGGTCATATCTTAATATGTGACAAAATATTTCCTTCTCAAATTTTGTTGTTATGGTGTAAATGTTAACTTCTTTAATTTGATGAGCTTCATTTCCTTTCCCGATTTCAGCAATAACAAAAGTGCAGTATTTAAAGTGATTTTGATTTCTAAAAATTGTAGGTATTTTTAGACGTATTATAAGTCGCACCGATTTTAAAGCTGTATTGTTAGAGGAAAAACTAAGGAGTTGTTTCATGCATTACTGCATTCTGTAGTGGGCACATGTGTATAACAACCAACCTTTCATAGCCGCCTTGCATGTTCTTAACTGGTTTTGTATCCTCAGTGAATTCAGCTGAGAAGAGCTTAGCTTTAATAAGGCAGCAACGAAAAACATAAAAAAAACTTTTTATCTTAAACAGTAAAACATCTTCTGTACAACAATATCTTAACAAGTTCTGTACAAACCAAGCTCGTTCCAATGTGTGGAAATTGTGACATCTGCCATTACCAGGCGAACTTTGTTCGACATTCTGCCCGATTAAATTCAAAATACAAAATCAATAACGTGTGCCCTGCAGCATGTCTAGTGCAGCTCTTATTGCGAAAACTACCTACAAATGGCAATTCGTCTGACTCTGTCTAAGCACCTTAGACGCATTATCTGTATAATCTAAAGGCCTACACTTTTACTTCATTCCCTTCAATACCAATTATTTTTCGTGTTCATCTTTTGTATGAAACTTTGTATATTAAGTGCATCCTTTTATTAAAATACTTATTATGCTGTGAAAGTGTATCTTGCTATACGGGTGAACTGTTTCCTGATAAAATGTACCTATTTAAATGTAACATGCTCATTAATTGTGATTGGATCTTCATACAGCAACAACAACAATAAAAGCCTTAGTTGATAAATCAGGGTACCAAAGTCACAGTATATAAACAAGTCTACTTCCTGTACTCGCAAGAAAGATACAATTTACAATACATAGGCTCCCAAGAAAGGTACAGTGATCGGAAGTAACACGTGCTTGTACTCGAAAGACAGGGTAATATTGAATTGTATAGGCTGGCAAGAAAGTGATTTCGTTTATATACTGTGAAAGTGGAAACAACATGGTAAATAAGAAAATATTTAACGATTTCTTGGTTAACTCAGTCGTTAAAAAGTAAGACAAAGAGTATAAAGGGGACAGTGTGAAAAAATTCTCATGCAATATATAGTAGTTTATATTTTAAATAGTGATTGAAACAAACAACCATACATATTCAAAATAAACAAAATAGCAGCAAGTGATATTCATTAAAATATGAATATATCTATGATTAATTGTAAAAAGTACGATGAGAAGAAACAAAAACAATATTATCAGTAAGTTACATTAAAGCACAGCTTTCGTGCATTGTACACTTCAAAGGGCGTGATTGAATAAAGACATGTCATAAGAATTGTTTAAATTGGATGTTTTGAATTCGTTTGTAACAGGACATACTGTCATGTCAGTGAGTACTTTATACATAAAAAACATAATATAATGGATTTTTAAACAGGCATGTACGTTTGTCAATGAGATTTATAACGTTTAAAGAAATATAAACAAGGCTGTTTTTGATTTCTATACAAACTACTTAATCAATGTATTAATTGCTAAAAAGCCTGGAACATTGATCCGGTGACTGGCCAAAGATTAAGATTTTGGAATTTTTTCTCTAATTGCAGGACACCAAAGGAAAGAAAATTAAGAGAAATAAAAGTTATAACACATTTCTCGGGCTAAATAGTCTTAACAATAATTTTCGCAATATATTTTTTCCATCCAACATGCTTTCGATATTGTAAATGCAAATTATGAGAAATGAAATAGTAAATGTATTACACATAACTTTTTATCAAATAGTGTGTTTGTAAAGTTGCGATCATAACACTTTTGGAGCTAATGTATACCTTGATGATTCAAAACTAAGAACATAGAACTACTTGAATACAGTGAAGTCAAGTCAAAAGAAGACAGAGATGTTTAATTTCGTCTGCACCCATGTCAATGCTGCTTTAAATGTAAATGGTAAAGCAAGTATTGGACATAAACATAAACTAGATTTTAAGCAGATGAGCATTTAATAAGTTATTCTTTAAGACATCTAGAGTAACTGATGATACGAGGGTTGTTTGGAAAGTTTGTAAATTTTTTTAATTCAGTCCTAAATAATCACGTGATCTTTAAACAAATCAAATATTCGTAAACTTTAACATTTTTATATTTAATCTTTATAATTCAGAAAGATATAACTAAGCTCAATCCTATTTTAACATTTAAAAATATACATGTAATCCATACATGAAGCACCATCCAGCGTCTATGCAAAAATAACATCGCTCAAACTAAGTCGCCCTCTTTTTATAGGAAATTACTGATTAACACACTTTCTGACAAGTCTTGCAATCTATTTTTTGCATGTTTCAATTATTTAAATAAAGATAAACGCAAATTGAGATTGTTTTGAAAGTTCAGACGAAGAATTAACTTAACCAGCCTATAAGGCCATGTAAAACCAGGTAACATTCTTAATTCAGTGGGGCTGGGTCAACCGGACTGTATAGTGGGTGATCCAAGAGCTCAAATCCCAGTAATTTTTACTTAAGCTCTTTTGAATTGTCCCTTGCTTTTTTCTTTTTTAAGCATATTGAGAGAAATTCAATTTAATTGGAAATACTTTTTTAAGAACTTTTCATATTTCTGGACTTTTCCGGGTACCAAATACCATGTTGCTATTGAAACCTGTATATCTGTGTACCAAAATATGTTTCATTTTCTTTTCGAAACTTCTACTAGAGACAAATGAAGGTTCTCACAATCAAATTTCAACAATATTTAATGATATCTATTAGAGATATCTCAAAATATTACAAGCTTATCGAAAAACCTTTGTATTGTGATAACCACAAACGCGAATTTAACTGCCTATAACTCTGACTTATAAGCCCGGCATTCAAATTCTTAACGCTGAAGGAACGTAATTGAATTAGCGGGTAATTTCTTGACATCTGCAGTTTTTAATGCATTGGCGCTTTTCTGAATATAAAGCAAACATGATCTTAAGAAAAAACACAACAATTTACAAGAACGGTCCGTGCTTGAGTCTTTTAATCCGTTTCTTTGTTTATCTATACTCGCGTAATCAGATTTAATGCAAGAATGTTTTTTTCAATCAAAGTTAATATCCTTGAAATTTTCTTTTCGTACTTAATGATGCATACGGAATGTTGTTTTAAACTGAATATAATACTTTGAATGATTTTTTAAATCTACTGACAAAAATCATGTTGCAATTTTCCCACAAAATTACAAAAATAATATTACTACACGGATTAAAGTATTCATAAAGAAATAATCCATATTTATAACAAAATAATTTTTGATATCAAAATTAATGACTTTACTTAAGACATAAATATTAAGACCACATTTACTAAAGTTGAAACAGATGATATTTTACAGTAAGATTAGCAAAAGCTACAAAACAATGATATTGTCAGAGGACTTCTCCGAAAGTTCAGTCGGAGAACAGTTCATAGCAAAACATGATTATGATCAGTATTGGATTTTTGTCAAATAAGAAGCAATCTAAATTTTACATCAATATATTATCATTATTATTTTGGATATTATATCCTAACGAACACTAATTGTTAGATAGCCCATGAACTCCGTTTGAATCGATATTATTTCGATTCAAACAAAAATAATTATCTATATTTTTAACCGGATATTATTTCTGGTGCCGATATTTTTATGTTTGTTATTCTATTCCGATTCCTTTAAAGGCTGACGTAATAAACGTAAGGAATAATAATACAAAAGCTTTGTTTCTCTTTAAATATTATCTTACCGACAATTTTAACTTACATGTCAGCAAACATCAGTGATAGATTTACACATGATCACCATAACCAATGAAAGTCTTAAAATGACGCCATTATGTCGCTTTTTATCAATGAGTTTCGTTTTTTTACCCAGTTACGCGGGACTTTCGACCTTACTGTGTGGTATGAAAACAAAAAAGTAATGGGGACGGAAAATTATTACAAAAATGCTTTATAATTGCTGCCTATCTTTATCGATTTTATATAATGGAGTACATAAAAATAGCCACATAAACATTAAATATTTTAATCGTTGTTTATAGGCAATTTAATACCGGTTATTTTCTTCTTTTTGTATAGAGACAAAATCACGAATCGTGCTAGAATTCACATTATATAATCATTAACATTTTCATCTGTAATAATGAAAATGACATTATATCATTCGTGTTTGCCCCGACAAACGAGCAATTCATTTTACTGTTAATATATCAAAATATACTCCGATATTTTTGTTATCGATTGGGCAAGAAAACCTCTTCGTGATATATTGATAAATGTTAAGTGAGTATATATTTCATTTTAGTATATTTTGAAAAGTGTGCATTTCACAATTAGATATATTTGTTGCATGATATGATTTCCACATATATTTTTGATTAACCCTCGTTTTCAATAATAAAAAAAAACAACTAAACACTTAACATATAAACTGATAGCTGGAACAGAAAATGTAGTTGCATTCTTGACATTAACAAATCAAAATAGTCAAAAATGTTGTTCTCAAGGTTTTATACTTTTGTTGTTTTGTTTCAAATATACAATTTTCAATTTGTTCTTGCAAAAGAACCAGTTTGTTCAAAATTTGCTTACGAAGAACAACTTTTAGAGAAAATGATAAGGACTGAAATTAAAGTAGAAACCAAACGAAATTAAGACGACACAAGAGACTGTCATGGACACTTTAGGCGTCATTAAAAAGACTGTTCAAGAATTCACGGGCAAGTTTGATATCTTGAATATCAACATCACGGGACAAATGTTAGAGAACACTCAACTTATTGAGAAGAAAATAAGTAAGTAAACTTTTTTTATTATACTTTATTTTCTAAAAATATCTTACTGAAATTATCTTATTTTTGACACTTTGCCATAACAAAAAGAAAGCATTTAATTCTATATATTTGAAAAGACATTCCATTTAAAGTATAAAGTATACAATTTAAAAAGATATTTTTAAATTACACGTAACAGTACCATAAAGAAAAAAATCATAGTGAAAAAAATGTGATTAGATACAATATATGTTAAAGTTCGTTAAACACCTAAGCACAGTTTACTGTCCTTAGAAAACATTTCTAAGTATACAAAGTTAAAAATTGTGATTGTATAAATTCACACGTGATGCATCATTCAGTTAAATCAAAACAAAGTTGGGCAATTGACATTCATTTAATTATATTTGCTAGTGAATTTTTATAAAAAATAATCAAAGTTAAACATTTACTTCAACGTTGTGTTTTACAATGTTTAAAAACGCTCTTTTGAATATGATTACAGAGTTCTTCGAGAAGTTGTATGAAGCAGTTCGAGTGAATTTTACGCAAGAAATTGAAAACCAAAGAAACAGTGTTGTCGCATTGCAAGGTAAGATTATTTCCTTTTATAAACACCTGAACATTTTCTTTTTCTTATCTGATTCAGATTTCTTTATGAATTATCTGCAAACGAATTACATGTAACAACTGATCAGTGATTTATTTTCATACATTGTGAATGCAATAAGAATGTTGTTCTTTTGTATGAATTATTAATAGTAATACTTTGTACGTTATTCTGATGAAGACAACAGTCGAAACTAGTAAAGATTAAAGGAATATGTGTTGTTTGATGTATTTTAACTGATTTCAAACATGTAACTGAATAGTCATGACAATCCATACGCTTAATGATGATACCATCATGTGTGTTACTTTTTTATTATCTTATCCATTTTAACAATTTTTATTTCAACCGTCTCAATAATGAAATAACAATTGTACCATTAAAGTAACATTTTCATTCTAGATGAAATAAAATATATCATTGAATAAAAACTACGCAAGCAGGTTTACATCAACTTATACAATGACACGCATGACAATAACGTTTTTTTTTTTAACGAAAAAATAAAAAATACCGAATCACACGTATGCATTAATAGCGCATATTTTTGCATGCATTTTATCTCTGAAGAAGCCTTCGGCCTTATGTAATCTGTCGCCCTGTCGGCTCGGAATTTAAATGCATTTTAGTACCTCTGCAGATCTTATTTCACGAAAAAATGTGCCTTAATCCCCTATTTCTGGTACAATTAACTAATAAATCGCCTTATAAAACAAGGTGCAACTGTAATGATAGCGTACAAACATGGGATATATACTCTAATAATCGTATAGTATTTTTTTGGACATAAGTGCTATTATAACAATTTTGTTTAGATTGTTTCGGTCAATTTATTCGCATTATTTATAAGACTATAATGATCATTAATATAATATATTCGAATGACTTTTTTCATGTACAGACTCAATCAAACCGAGTCTACAATTCTATTGTAATTTTATTGTGATAAATGCTTCCGAGTGATCACTTTGTTTCCAGAGTTTTGGCATAAATTTGTAAACTATTTATTTGCAGGAAAATATGAACGACCTACTGTTGCATTTTGTGTTCATAAGGTTACAGATGTTCTCCTGGATACATCAAACGAGGTGATTGTATTTAATAGCATCATCACAAACGAAGGATCTGGATACGATACTTCAACAGGAATCTTCACAGCCCCTGTTGCGGGTTTGTACCAGTTTGCTGTCCATCTTTGTACACCAATATCTTATTACACCTATGTAGGAATATATCATGAAGGAAAAATCATCGTAAAAGATTACATTCATGGTGTTGGACAACATGCCATGTGCAACTCTGTAGGAGGTGTGGTAAGAGTTGAATCAGGGGAACAGGTTTGGGTCCAGTCACGATCTGCTGGGTCTAACCGCAAACTAACTGATGACAATAGTAGAATGAACACGTTCTTCGGAATACTGATTGATAGCTAGATTGTTACACATATTTACAAACAGTTTTTATTGTCAGTGAAAATATGAATTTCAGAGGATTTTAAAATCAATTTAAACAGAGATATGAGTTTTTGATAATATCTCCGGACAAATATAGCAAAACAACTATATGAATATTGTTAACAAAACAGGAAAAGTTATAGCATTCATATGGATGACATTAAACATTGATTTACCATGGCACGAGGAAATAATCGTAAAACTGAGGTTCACATTTTGCTCAGAATTTAACCATTTCTACGGATTTTAACCCAGCTATTCGCACACTAAAGCTAGGTTACTTCACATAAAAATGAAAAATAAAAATAAAGTATATTTTCGTACAATACACTGTCTCTAAAATGAATTTTCAGAGAAAGTTTTACATAAACCTATGCAAGCACATGCAATTAGTGCCTAATACAAATACATGATAACACCATCGCCCATAGCGCGTCGATTGTAAAAACGTCAAACTCATAATTATGTATTAGCGAAAAAAAATAATAAAAAAGATAAAATCAACTGCAACTGTAGAGCTTTTAAAGAAAACATACAGCTAGAACCTATTAACAAACAGAGGGACTCTGTTTTTCTCTATTTTATTGTCAAATCCGTGTTATTTGTGCCGTGTGGTGGCTGTAAAAAGTCTCCCTGTACATTTAATTAATGATGTTATATTTTCGATCCTTGAAGATCGTTCAGCACGACATTTTTGTTGAGTATACATGTTATGTGGTACTTTTAGTTTGTTCTTTTTGGCCCTTTTCAACTTGGGTGGTTAGAGTATTCTTCTTGAATACTGAATAATCACTCGTAGGATATGTTGCCTGCTTTTTAAATTTGTCTTTTGACGTCTTATCTGTAATATGCAGATTTCATAACCTCAGATTCCACTTCAAAATTCAATTTTATTTAGTTTTCTCGTTTAGGGCACAAGCATTCTTTTACTTGGGGACCATACGCCGATTTTCACGGAATGGCACTACTGTGTCACATTAAAGGTTCTATGATAACCGCCGTATGAACACATCTGCGGATGTTTTTAAATTGAAAATTTCACCATTTTCGTGTTAAATGTTAAATTCTGCTTAAGCCGGTGCTAGGGGGCGTGGACGGTAACTTGCCTTGAACAGGCTCAATCAAACGGAACCTGCAGCATTTTCAATTTTGTCGTGTTGGACTTTCTTTAGGGATTCTGTTTTTCTCTATTTTGGTGAAGTGAAGTGTTTAATCACAAAGCCTTTGAGCGATAAACCGTACATTATTATACTATAATACAAGAAAAATAGTTATGTAATTCATTCTCAGATGCTAATGATAAAGGAAATTGATAAAAATATGTTGAATTCCATTCAGCGTAGAAGTAGTTTAGTTTATTAACGTCATATATGACGTTATGTGATGTGTAAGCTGTGCATATATTATATCGTGTAATGCATCTCTTGATAACGGAATTGTGTGAAGCGTGTTAGAAATTAGATTTTACCTCTCTTAAAGGGGGGTACCCACGCGAAGGATATTTTTCGCTCCGAATCTGCAAAAGAATCAGACAAATGGTGTTTTTACGGTTAGCTCAATGTATGGTGAATATTCGTGTGTGTTTTTAAGTTTATTTTAGCTCGGCGCCGGAATAACCATATGTCCGAGATCTCAGCGTCCATGCCGGTCAACTCATCGGGGACGTCTTTTTCATGCCGATCTTCCTAATCCTGTGCTTCGTTCGATGGAGGAAAGACATTACTGGCAAAGCATCATGTTCCGTCACGGCAGCAAACAGGCAGTTGACATAAAAGGGCTCTTGTTAGTACCACCCTCCAGAGTTAGTCACGACAGGTCAACCAATCACCTCTGGTACTTGAGATGACTTGACCTTGACGTGAACGCCTCTGTGGGGATTTGGAGGAGATGGTGAATATGGTGTATTTTACGAATATATATGGAGAAGATGGTGAATATGGTGTATTTTACGAATATATATGCTAATTTATCAATTAGTGATATACTTGTGAAAGGTCTTTTTTTTCTTCTGCTATTAGCTTTGGCATGGAACATCAAATTTTATTTTAACACTTAATAATCACATTAATTGTTTGCGAAAAGCAGCACTTGATAGACTGCACCTTTGTTGTTGACATTTATTTGTGTTCTAAGTAATTAATAAAGCTAAATTCTTGGTGAAAGAAAATCTCTTCAAATCAAAAGAGTAAAAATTAAACCTGCATGCCTCTGGATCAGCAAAATATTTAAAACAAAAAGCAAACTTTGGGAAATTTTAATAAGATTTTAAGAGTAAAAAGAAGATTCATCTTATAATTTACATATTATGTGCGAGTAATGTTTTCATCACGATATTTCTATTGCGTTACTAACTAAGGGCTATTTTTACATATTTTGTTTTGTAACTTACGTGGATTGTGAGCGCCGTTTGCAATATGTAAATATATATCTTTTTTTTTATATCACAATATTTTCGTGTAAATACATTTTGAAAATTTTCATGAAAATGAGCATGAATCTAGCGGCATCAAACATCAAATTTGAGAAGAAATAATATTGTAATATATTAACATGGGAAATAGTTTCCCAAAAAAGCCTTTAAAATATCTTTTTACAATCTTGTTTGTTGTTTTTATCCTGATTATTTTCAAAATTTTGGTCGCCTGACTGTTTTGACAAGATAATTCTACAATGATGGTAATGGAACATGTATATATATATTTTTTTTTTTCTTTTAAACGATATATTTAACCGAGTTTATGCCATATTGACCGCAGGCTATATTCTCTTTTGTAAAGTACTACACAATGACCATTCAATAACGGTCTATTCATAATCGATGTAATTTTATCACCTTTCTAGCGACTGTGTTTCAGTTCAATTTTTGATACTATACAGTACACACGTATTGAGATTTTGTGCTCGATTGTGTGCACATTATACATGTAATACACCCCTGATGAAGGCATAATACGTCGAAAGTACTTGGGTATTTATACTTTAGCACTGTATGAACGTTTATTTTCTCCAAATTTATTGTTTTTTTTCCACGTTCTTGTATCCTTCTTTGGATCCAGTGTTTTTGAAAGGTATTTTGTAGATGCAAATTTTTTTCACAAACCTATATATATATATATATACATGTTCCATTACCATAATTGTAGAATTATCTTGTCAAAACTAACTTTCTGAACGACACATTTTTTTTCAACCCGTATTTTAGTATAATGATATTTACAAATGTTGCGTGTCTGTCATGACATATTATGACGGTATCAATAACTCGCGCTTATTTTGGTGAAAACTTATAATAAATGTTCTAAGACAGCTTCTAAATGTCTTGTAAGAAATACTTATATTAAAACAACAGTCATTTTACTCTCAGTTTTAAAATGTGCAGCTGAAACACAATCGTTTTCAAGTTTACAGTTATGTAGAAGAAAAACTAGGTAATTATATAATAATTGTTATTTATTAATAGCTATTTATTAACAAACTTAAAATGCGGAAATCACAATACTTATAATTATATGCCTAATTAATTGGAAAAATCAAAGACTATATTCTTGAATTGGTCAAATCCCGGGATCCCTATATGTTTGAATACGATCCCAGCTTTTCTGAAAACTATATTCTTGAACTGGTCTTTATATATTTTAATACGATCCAGGCTTTTCTGAAAACTATAATCTTGAACTTGTCAATTCCCGGGATCCCTATATGTTTTATTACGATCCCGGCTTATCTGAAAAAACATCTTCTTAGACTGGTCAATTTCCGGGATCCCTATATTTTTAATACGATCCCGGCTTTTCTGACTGAATTGATGGACAACTTGTGTTTACTTTAGGACTTGTGTCTGGCACTCATTCCAATACTAAATAACATATTACAACTTAACTTCGTATAAAGAGACATCTTTATGAATTCTACCTATCTAACATTTTTTTGGTCAAGGTCAACAGGCTATATAGTAAATGTGCATAGTTAAGGGACTTAATTTTATCTGTTTACATGCATCTTCATATATACTCATATTCCTCTTTGTTAAACTGAGAGAACTGGCTTCCATAACTTTATATGTCACTTTTATTTTGATGTTCGCTGAAGTCTCTTCAGCTAACAGAACTGTCATTTTTACATTTAAACAAACCCCTGGAAAAAAATTACGAAGCGAGTCGCTACTAGCTTTTTTAAAAGTTTACCTTGTGTACACACTGAAGCAGATGTAAATTGCAGGTTTGCAGTGTTCGCGTATTATATCTCAATTATAATAATTTTATTAATTTCTAATCTTTGAAACCCGTCGTTTTAGTGTAGCCGTTGAAGATTGGTGAAGATGGACTGTGTTGTGCTGACATGATGAGCTTTTCATTAAAATACGAAATTAAAGCAAACATGAAACTTTAATTTGAATTATCTTGTATATATGTACCCTTCTCAACCATTTCAATTTGACAATAAATGTGTGCTGTAAAAATAAATTATCATCCAGTTTTGTTGTTTTATGTATTTATTTTTGTTGTTT